TTTTTCTTGGTTAGATTGGCTAAAGGTTTATCTATTTTATTGACCTTTAAAAAAAAAACAACTTTTTGATTTATTGATCTGTTGTATAATTCTTTTGTTTTCAATTTCATTCAATTCTACCCTAATTTTGGCTATTTCTTTTCTTCTGCTGGGTTTTGGATTGGAGTGTTCTTCCTTTTCCAGTTGCTTAAGATGTCCCATTAAGTTGTTAACTTCCTCTCTTTCTGTTTTCTTGAGGAAGGCTTGCAATGGTATAAATTTCCCTCTTAGGACTGCCTTTGCAGTATCCCAGAGGTTTTGATAACTCGTATCTTCATTATTGTTTTGTTCCAAAAATTTAGTAATTTCCTTCTTGATCTCATCTCTGACCCACCTATCACTGAGCATAAGATTATTTAGCTTCCACATTTTTGTATGGGCCTCCTGTTGTTACTGAGTTCAACTTTTATTCCATGGTGGTCTGAGAATATGCAAGGAATAATTTCTATTCTTTTAAATTTGCTGAGGTTAGACCTGTGACTTAAGATGTGGTAGATTTTGGAGTATGTTCCATGGGCTGATAAGAAAAATGTTTATTCAGTTTTATAGGATGAAATGTTCTCCAGATGTTTGTTAAATCCAAATACTGAATGGTTAAGTTTAAATCCAAGATTTCTTTGCTTAGCTTCTTGTTGTAGGATCTATCCAACACTGACAAAGGAGTATTAAAATCTCCAACTATGATGGAGCTGGGAGTAATCAATTGCTCATGCCTGTTAGAGTGTCTCTTATTAATTGAGGTGCATTCTGTTTGGGTGCATAAATATTCATAATTGAAATCTCATCGTTGCTCACTTTTGTTGGTTTAAGCCTATTGTACCTGTGAATAAAATTGCAACACATGCTTTTTTCTGTGTTTGTGCGGTTCAAGTAGTTTCCGGGCTAAAGGGCCAAGATTGGCACTTGGTCCCACAGGGTGGGGGACACTGTTCTTGGGTCTCCTCTCACTGTCTCTGCAGGCAAGGGGGAAGGTTTGACTGGAAATTCAAAATGGCCGTGAGAGCGTTAGTTCTATTTTTCTGCCTGGGAGAGGGTGTTCAGAGTCTCAGCAGGGTCCCTCTAGGGGAGTAGACCCCACTGTCTGTAGCTCTCACCTATGGGGTGAGATAATAAGTCCTCAGATTATTGCTCGCCTGTAGGAGACTTACAGGAGCAGACAAAGAATAAACAAAGGAAAAGTGCAACTTTCTTGGGGGAGGGGATGGAGACTTTTCCTTTGGGATGTATTATGTATCTGTAGATTGCTTTCTAGGAGTCCCAGTTTGCCTCAGCAATGGCATCCTGCACATATCACTCTTCTCTCTCAGCTGGGCTCCTAGTCTTCAACTTTGTTGAATGTTTTCTAGACTTTATTCTTCCTTCTGGTCAGGAGCTTCTGTCGGAGGCTGGTACCTGTTGGCCATCTTGCCCCTCCCTCTATTTATTTTTTTTTTGAGACAGAGGCTCACTCTCTCACCCTGTGTAGAGTGCCATGGTGTCATACCTCACAGCAACCTCAAAGTCTTGTACTCAAGCAATCCTCTTATCTCATTACCCCAAGTATCTGAGAATACAGGAACCCACCACAATGTCCAGCTACTTTTTCTATATTTTTGGAGACTGGGGTTTCAATCTTGCTCAGGCTGGTCTTGAACTCTTTAGCTCAAGCAATCCACCCACCTTGGCCTCGAGGGTGCTAGGATTATAGACATGAGCCACTGTTTTTGGCTTCTACCAAAAAATTACAAGAAAAATTAATCCTAATCCTTCCCAAAGCCTTTTGAAAAATAGAAAAAGAAGAAATTCTTCCAATTCATTTTATGAGGACAGCATTATTCTGACACCAAAAATAAAGATACCATAAGTAGAGAAAGCTACTTTTCAGTATTCCTGATGAAAGTGGGATTCAATAGTCATGAACAAAATAAAAAGAAATAAAATTCAACAGCACATTAAGAGATTCATACACTATAACCAAATGTAATTTATCCCTGGTATGCAAAGATAGTTATGATGAATATGGATGCAAGCCAATAACTGTGATATACTACATACAGAGAATGAAGGACAAAAGACACATGATCATCTCAACATATAGAGAAAGTATGTGACAAAACTTAACACCCTATCATGATTTGTTAGGATTTAACAAATTAGTTACAGAAGGTATATAATAATAAAGGCCATCTATGAAAAGTCTAGAATATCATAGGATTTTTATAAATATTCATAAATATGACATATTATAAATACTCATAATGAATAGCTAGTATTATACTCAACAGTGAAAGACTGAAAGCTTTCCATCTAATATTTAGAATAAGTTAAGGATGCTCACTTTTGCCACTTCTATTGAACATAGTACTGAAAGTCCTAGCCAGAGAAATTTGACAAGAAAAATAAATAAAAGCATTCAAAGCAAAGGAAAGAAGCAAAATTATGAGTTTGCAGATGACAAGGTTTTATATGTATGAAACCCTAAAGACTCCACAGAAAAAAATGTTTGAACTAATAAATTTGGTACAGTTGCAGAATACAAAAACAACACATAAAAATTGGCTGGGTTTCTATATAGCAACAACAAACAATCTGGAGAGAAAAATAAGAAAACAGTTCTATATATAATAGCACCAAAAGGAATAAAATACTTAAGAATAAATCTAAGAAAGTGAAAGTCATGTATCAGTGAGAAAACACTGATGAAAGAAATTCGAGCACATAATACACATATATGGGAAAACATCCAGGGTCACAGGTTGGAAGAATGAATATTATTAAAATAGCTATACTACCCAAAGTGTTTTACAGATTCAATGCAATCCCTTTCAAAATCCCAAAGATTTTTTTTACAGAAATGGGAAAAACAGTCTTAAAATAAAACCAAAACCAAAATATACCAAAAAAAGTGTGTTACTAGCATGAAAGCAGATCTAAAGTCCAATGGAATAGAATAGAGAAGGCAGAAATAAACCCATACATATATACACAGTTAATTGATGTTAGACGTCTAAGAGTGTCAAGAATATATAAAGAGGAAAAGATAGTTTTTTCAGTAAATGATGATGGAGCTGAGAGTCCAGTGAGGCCAAGGGAAATAGAATTCACAGGACAGAATACTGAAGAAGAGATAGCTATATACAGAAAGAACTCTGGAGATCTAAAATGGATACCTCTAAAGTGTTCAGATAAAAATTGATCAATATATGTTTTTGAGGAAACAACTTAAGTTTGGAGAAAGAACCACTTAAGAATAAGAGGTTACAGTCTCTGGTACTCATGCCAGGCCAGGAACCATGCTTCTTCCCACTTGCCAGACTAGAAAAATTCAAGGTTAAGAGACCATTGGGTAGATTACAAAAATGAGTCTTGCCTCAATAATAGAGAATAACTAACTGTAGGTTAAGCAAAACAGATATGAAGAATCAAGCTATTCCTAAACAAGCTAGCTGCTTCTAAAAACAAAGATTAAAAATATTTAATGGAATACAAAAACGTCCATTACCAAAAAGAGTAAAGTGTCAAGACTTGGCATCTAATAAAATTATTAGACACCAGACATGTATAGAAACATGAAAATGTGGCCTATAATAAGGAAATAAATCTACTGAAATCAACCTACAACTAAAGCATGTTCATGCTAGAATGAACAAACACATTAAACTGATATTATAAGTATATGCGATATTTTCAAAAAAGTTAAGACAAGAGATATTTAACAGATTATATAAAAAAACCACATTGTACCCCACATATGCATAAATGTATTCATGATCTAAAAAAAATACTTTGAGATAAAACTTTAATTTCTAAAATGAAAATACAATGCATGAGATTGACATATTATACATTGCTAAATAAAATATAGTTAACTTGCACACATAAACAACAGAAACAAGAGAAAATAAAATTCAGAAAAGAGTGACCAAAAATACCCAAAGCAACATCAATCTGTAATACAACTTCTAGTGGAATGATAAAGATGTAGCTGGAGTCCTTGAAGTGGTGTGAGACATAAAAAATAACTGAACAAATTATGGATAAGTACTTTCCAAATTTGATGAAAATGATAAAAGTATAGATTCAACAGACTCAAAGGACCCCCCCCCCAAAAAAACTCAAGGAAATTCATAATCAAATTTCATAATACCAATGATAAAGAAAAGTCTTAAAAGGTGCCAGAAAAAAATGATATGTAAGAAAAAAGGATAAGAATTACATTAAGTTTTTAATCAGAAACAATGCATATGTATAATCTAACATCTGTAACTTAAAATTGCACACCCAGCAAAAATAGCTTTCAGAAATGAAGATGAAATAATAACTGCTGTAGATATAGAAAAGCTGAAAAAGTTCATCATCAGACCAATAGTGTTATGCTTCTCACCCACACCCAGATGCTATAATTTTTATCCAGTTTATTTTCTTCACACAAATTATTACAAAATCAAATATCATTGGTTGTCCAGCCAGAGGAAATTCAACATAATGCATAGTGTATGGAACAAATATTAATAAGAGTATTTATAAAGATATATGTGTATGTATGTATAAAAATTATATATACTGACAGACAAGCTCTGTTTCTCGCTCTTTCTCTCTTTTTTGGGACAGAGTCTCCCTATGTCACCCTTGGTAGAGTGCTGTGGTAGAGTGCTGTGTGTCAGCCCACAGCAACCTCAAACTCCTGATTCTCTTGCCTCAGCCTCCCAAGTAGCTGGGACTACAGGC